ATTTTTTTTTTTTTTTTTTTTTTGACAGGGTCTCACTGCGTAGTTGAGACTGACCTGGAACTTGCTATATATATGTATGTCCCAGGCTGGTCTTGAATTCACAGCGATCCTCCTGTCTCAGCCTCCTGAGTGCTGGGATTACAGGCGTGCACCACCACTTCTGGCTTTTAATTTTTAATTGATGCATAATAATTATACATATTTATGAAGTACGGGGTGGGATTTAAACACATGTACACAATATGTTGTAATGAACTCAAAGTTACTAGCATATATATCACTTTAAACACTCATTACTTTATGTTAGGAACATTCAAAATTCTTCCTATGAGCTATTTTGAAACATGCAATTAATAGCTGTCAACCAATTATTCTACTATACTATAGAATACTGGAATTTACTCCTATCCAATTACACTTGTTCACTAACCATCTTCTCTCCGTAACTCTTTTCACCCTACTCAGTCCCTGGTAACCACTATTCTACTCCTTACTTCTATGAAACCAATTATTTAGCTTCTACATCTACTGAGAATGTGCAGTATTTGCCCTTCTGTGCCTTATTTTAATTAATATAGTGTTCCCCATTCTATCCACGTTGTTGCAAATGACACAGTTTTATTCATTTTTATGCTATAGTTTAAACACCTCGTTTTTCTTATCCATTCATTATCTACTGATGAACACCTAGGTTGACTCTATATCTTGGCTACTGTGAATAATGCTGTAGTAAATATCCCAGTGCAGATGTATCTACGGGCACACTGATTTTATTTATAGTATTTCGGGATATAGTGGTACAACTGGAACATCTAGCATTTCATTTTTTTTTTTTAGGAACTTCCATACTATTTCCTATGAAAGCTGAATTTATTACATTCCCAACAACGTAAGGGAGTTCCTTTGCTCCCTATTCTCACCACCATGTGTTGTTTATTGTCTTTTAGTAATAGCAATTCTAACTGGTGTGAGATGATATTTCACTGTGGTTCTAATTTGCATTAACCTGATGATTAAAGATGTTAAGCATTTTTAAATAAGTGCTTATTAGTAGAAAAGAAAAACAACATTTGTTTCAGTATATTAGTATAGGCATATAATATTTTGATTTTTGCTACATATTTTTTTCCAGTACCAGGGATCAAACTCAGCACCTTGTGCTTGATATGCAGGCAAGGAGCCACTGAGCTACATCCCTAGTGGCTACATATTTTTAAAGGTCAAATTAAAGTGAACCTTATTTAAGAGGTAAAGAATAATAAAAGTTACCTGAACAAAATGATACCTAACAGTACCCAAAAAGATAAATCCACTCCTTCCCAAACATTTTAAACCCCAAAACCAAATATGACAGACAGTTACCTTGGCTAAGAAGATTGCAGCATCCATAACAGCTTTGATGTGGCGAAGCCATCCTGAGCTCTCTAAACCAGAGTAGAAATCACTAACACAAAGCCCTTTGGTACCATTGACTAACAAAAGGAAGAAAATTTTCCATTAGAATGGGGCTACAGTTACCACCCCTCCTTTTCAGTATCTATCTGATGAGTGAACTCAAAAAGAGGAAGAAAGAATAAACAGGTCAGATTCTATAAATGAAAAGATGCTGTTATAGAAGCATAATAATGAATTTTGGAATGCATTTTTCTGTTGCTCCTTGTGCTTAAGAGAAATGCTCCAATCTCTTTAAAAAACTGCAGTACACAAATGTTTACAACAGTCTTATATTCTAAAATTTCACATGACGATACCTTAATATTTAAATAGGAGTATCATAAATTAATCTTTAATGTACTAACTACTCCATAATCTCTATCTAACAGCTATAATTTTTTGTAAAACTATTAGACTAGTACTAATACAGTAACTGCTATCTAAATGTGGCCACTGAAAACTTGCAATGTGGCTAGGCCAAAGTATAAAATACACAACTAATATGTGAGATTTGATGAAAAGTAAAATGTTTCAATACCAATTTTTTTCCTGATTATGTGCTTATACATTTTAAAATGTGACTACCAGGAAATTTTAAATTATATGTGACCAACATTATGTTTCTATCAGATAATGCTGCCTAAATAAGCAAATTCATACCTTCCAGTAATTTCTGGAGGCTGGACCTCATGACGTGAATATTTTCTATTCCAACAAACTGAAATCTAATATTAGAATAGTTGTCTTCATTTTCATAACCTTTTCCCGCTGCTCTGTTGGCCATAGCATTTAGCTGAAATTTAAAATTTTAGAAATTAAGAATCAAAATACTTTAATCTTGCCAGGCATGATGGCACACGCCTGTAATCCCAGCACTTGGGAGGCTGAGGCAGGAGGATCACTGTGAGTTCGAGACCAGCCTGGGCTACAGAGTGAGTTCCAGGTCAGTCTCAACTATACAGTGAGACCCTGTCTCAAAAAAGCAAACAAAAAACAAAAACAAAATACTTTAATCTTTTTTAACTAACTTGCTAAAATTTCATGAAAACAGTAAGCCATACTTGAGCTAGGAGAGAATGTAAATAACATCAAATCTGAATAAACTGTCATTTTTAATAAGCAAACATGTTATTAATAGTAAAGGATACTAACAAATTGTTATATAAAGGAAAGGTGTAGATAGGAAGATCCCACAGATTCATGAAGATAATTAATTTATGTTTTTAGTCAGTTTTCCATATGTTGATAATATATTTCAAAATTAAAAAGAAATATCTCCTATCTGAATCCTAATTGATTCAGAGATGAACAGAGCTACAATTTCTTTTTTTTGCTTTGTTTTTTTCTTTTCTTTCTTTTTGTTTTTTAGAGACAGGGTCTTGCTACGCAATTCAGGCTGGCCCCAAACTAACTCACAGTAAGCCTCCTGCCTCAGCCTCCTGAGTGATGAAATTATAGGCATGCAGCACCATACACAGCACCAGAAATTTTCTTTCACACAATCAAACTATGAGATTCACTTCAGAACAAACCTGGAGTGCTTCATCACTCAGAAGCCACAGGAACCATAAAATTGTTTTAAAACATGCCTCTGATTACCTGAGATCCTCTGCCTGAGGTCCTCCATGTTAGAGATTATTGCAGGCCCACAAACCATGTAACATAGTGTATAATTTGCTATCTATCTTCAAGAATCAGGCCCTAAATAAAATGGTCTGCAAAGAAAAAACAGCCTGCCCATGGGCCTATCATCCTGGGTTATTATTAGATCAAATGTTATCAGAGATTAATTTAGGATTTGAGAGTTTACTCCTCTCAGATTAGGCTTTTAGGCAGCATGTTGCTATATTTACTAGATATTCTTTTGTAATGAATTTGGATAAGGGAACATATAAATTGGAAGAAAAAGTATCTTTTGATTCAGTAGATTGAATCCATTGGTTGGTAGCAAGTATACAGCTAAGCTGTATCTACTGAGTCACTGGTTACTCAGCACCTATGCGGATTAAAGTAAAATTAAGAATTAGATATCACAAAGATTTCCCATTACTACCTGAATTTTTTTTTTTTTTTTTTTTTTTTTTTTTTTTTTTTTTTTTTTTTTTTTTTTTTTTTTTTTTTTTTTTTTTTTTTTTTGAGACAGGGTCTTGCTTTATAGCCCAGGCTGGTCTCAAACTTGGGGCAATCCTCCTGCCTTAGCCTCCTGAGTGCTGGGATCACAGGCATGCATCACCACACCCAGCTACTGTTTGACTTTTAAATTTAACTATTAAAGCAAGCAAAGGATGTATTTTTCTGTTCAAAGACAACTGTATAAATAAAAAGATATTAGGTCTTGAGACAAATAGGAGTCAGATCTCACCCTCAAAAAGTCTCATTATAGTCACCTTTTATCTCTACTACCTAAAAGAGTTCCAATCAATTAATCAACCGAGATTATACAAAGAAACAGGAACCATTATAAACACTCTCAACTCCTATGAAAGTCTTCTATTTTTAACAAAATATTAATTTCTAATTTTAATATTTCCTAATTACTCGAATTAATCTAATCTATATTATCCATTATCTTTGGGAGATTGCATAATGATAAGAATTACTCTCACGCAGTGACCATTCCCTTCACAAAGCTGCCTAAAATTGCTTGTGTTCTGTATTGCTCACTCGCTTTTTCTCATCGCTTTCTCTTATTTTTTCATCATTCCAGATTTTTGAAGAAATCCTCACTATAATTCTGCCAATGTCCTTTGGTATAGCCCTCCAGCTCTGCATACGATGCTACAATAAAAATTAAAAGTAAAGTTAGCTATTACATTTAATATTTTAATTACCTTAACTTCAGGGTCCTATATGAATTGATTGTTTAACTCTGCTCATAAAAAGAAAACAGGATTCTGACTTCGTCCCAATGATGCAAATTAAGCTTTACACCATAAATGCCTAACAAAACAATAATTTCTTACCACTTTAATTCACTAGTTCACATTTTTTAAGGAATTGTTTTTTTCTAAGTATTTCAAATTAACATCCATTATTTTAACACAGATGAATAAAAAATTTTATAAAGAGTTTTAAGAATTTCTATACACAACACACATACTATTAGGTATTTCTTCACAATAACATAAAACTTATACATCAAGAGTTTCTGACATCTTTTCTAATTTAATACAGTGGTGTCCCGGTTTACAAACTTAATTCTTTCCAAGATTCTGGTCTCAAACCAAGTTGTTCACAAAGTGAATCAAATATACCCATAAGGTCAACATTGAACCTAACCATTAAGTTTCATTTGGTTCAAGACCTATTCAGTTGGAAACCAGAATCATGGAAAGAATTAAGTTCATGAACCAAGGATCACCAACTAGGGTACTGAGAACTGGTCTTCTAAGTTGGTGTACCTTAAAGTATACTTTCTTTGTATCAATAGCTACAATCAATTTAAAACCAGAATTCAGGTATTTTAAATATGGGAAAAACAAATCAATTAAAGATAATAAATAGGATCCAGGGTATTTTAAGATACTTACTTTGGGCCTAGTGTCCACAACATACATGTAGCGATTGACTGGATTGGCTTTACTAATGGCTTGAAGCAAATGCTCGTCCTCCAGGCACCTGGCACTGAATCCTGACAGTGGCTGACTACATCGACAAATGGCAGCCTAATTTTAAAAAGACAGAAAATAGGCTATGAAAAGTACTCCTCAAAAACATGCTTAAAAAACTCAAAAGTAGTAAAATAAAATATGCAACATTTTTAAGTTAGCAAGACAATCAGAAGGCATTAACTCTGAAATCCTATTTGAATTAAATATTATTTCAATATTCTGATGTTTCCTAAATTTTCCCACTATTCTCTTCTCCTAAGAAAAGTAAATCCTTCCTTAACTAGTTTGATGAAAAACAACAACAACAAAAACGTAGAGCTGGGTACAGTGGCTAATACCTATAACCCTAGCACTTGAGGCTGAGGGAGAAGGATCACAAGTTTGAGCTCATCATGGGCAATTTAACATCTTGTGACAAACTTCAAAAAAATGGGGTAAGGAGTGGGGATGTAGCTCAGTGCATAATCTCTGGTTCAATCCCTAGCACTTCTCTTCCCTCCCAAAGGGAAACATTTACATTTTTAAGAAGCAGAACTTGGTCAATTCTCTCAAATAATCTAGATTAAGATACCTACATCTTGTGCTCTATATGGACTATGGGATACTTTCAACTCAAATTCAATAAAGAAACAGTTGAAGGCCAGGGATTTAGCTCAGTGGTGTCACTGCCTGCTTTTCAAGCAAGATCCCAAGTTCAATCCCCAGTACCAAAAAAATAAAGAAAGAAAGAAAGAAAGAAACAGTTAATACACGAAGAACAGGACTTTTAAAAATAGTAATGCTTGAAGGAAGAAAGGAAGGGACAAGAAAAAAGTGAAAATGGAAGGGAAAAATGGAAACAAAGCTTTTGTACACAGGGAGAGAAGGGGGCTTGAGGGGAATGGGATAAAGTAACATAAAATTTAATTTAAAAAATTTAAAAATAGTGTTACTTGAACTTTTACTTCCCAAATTAGAAAGTGCTTTTACTTTCTAATTAGAAATCAGTAATCTTTATATAAAATGAGACTTAAAATGCAAAAAAATGTTTCAATTCAAAATTGGATTAAAATACAGTCAATCTAAGAGAGAAAGAATACCTCTATACGTAGCAAATGGCTAAATTAGGTATTTACAATGTTTAAAGTCCTAAAAATGACTAAATAGATTTAGACTCACACACTTCTTCAATCTCATCCATGCCATGTCCAACTTAACATCTACCCAAACATTCCAAATACAATTTCATTAAGGGAGAAGAAAGCAAATATAAATACATGTTTTGCAAATTTTAAATTCACACATAAAGTAAAACCAAGAAAATTTAAAATAGAAGGAAGTTATTATTTTATTAAATTCTTTTCACACATACTTTCTTATTTCTGTTAGTTTGGCCACTGAATATCTATACTCATCCCAGTTTTCTAATCAACAATGTATACAAACATGGATGGTAAAACAGGGGTCATAATCAGATAACTTCCTCATGACTTAATTAGAAACTTCTATTTGAACACCTACCTTTTATCTCTGCTTCCTATTCCAAATTTCAATGAAAGGTTCTGACAAATAAATTTAAGATGCATAAAGCCAAAAGGACAAAAAGAATAGAAAAGGAGACAATAGAAATATCAATAAAATTTAGGGAGATAATAATAGGCAAGTGATAACTGATGTAGCATGGTTTAAAAAAAAAAAAAAGTTTCCAACTCCCTTAAGTCAATTAAAAGATATTCTAAACAGCCAAATGCCAAGAAGGCTCAGGAGTTTGTACTTCTGAAAGACTGAGTAAGAATATAACTAAAAACCCTAAAACAGGTTGAATGCATACATAAGGAATACTGTATTTCCCCCAAAATAAGACCTAACAAAAAAATAAGTCCTAGCATGATTTTTCAGGGTGCTTGTAAGCCCTACTCCCAAAATAAATGCCAGTTAAGAGGGATGCATATACTCACTGCAACACACAATGGACGTATTGAATTATAAATACTAATATATAACAAAATATAAATAACATTAGACATTAATACTTAAAATAAATAACATATATTATAATTACTTGGAAATACCAAAGCAGGCATCTTTGGACAAAAAGCAAACATCTATGTAAACAGATGAGCTGGCAAGTTAATGATGAATGACAAATCAGAGCACAGACAATGCATGAATAACATGCCCACTTTACAATGTACAGGCATAGTTGTGTCTAATATGAATCTTCATAATTCAGTATGTCATGTGTTGTAACAAATATACTTAATGCACTTGTGTGAAATAAAGAAATGTATTCAGAATTTCGATGCCTGCAATTTTTCTTCACATTTGTTTAGACCATCATTCTTAAACTGGCATCATTTTTGTTGTCACTCCTGTCCCCTAAGTCTTTAATTAACACTTGATTTAATGCAAACTTTGTGAGGCCAGCCTGCAAGAGGTTGTAACTTGGGTGAAGAATTCGTGGGATAAAATTACTGACAACTGTGCTGCCAATGCACTATGAGCAGGCCACATAGACAAAAAGGGCTCATTTAAGGAGGGCTCTACTGCTGGACATGAAAGATTGTGGCCAATGGTTCCATAGGAATTGGGAGTTGCAATAAATTCAGGCCAGAATTCAGGGTTTGGTGAGTTATGACGATGTTCCAGAAGATATGACTGTATTTGAATACAGATTTTTTGTACATAAATAAATATGTGTTGCTTTACATGAAAAAATAAGACATCGCCTGAAAATAAGCCCTACTGAGTCTTTAGCAGTAAAAATACAAGATCCATTCTTATTATTGGGAAAATATGGTAGTTGAGATTTCCAGATTTTTCCCTTGTTCTGAAGACAAAGTTTATTCTATTTAGAAGATTAACCCAAAGACTCTGGACAATAGGTATAGCTGTAAAAGAATGAAGCCACACACCCCACCCTCCACCAAAAACAGAAGGATTAAATATAGTCTACATAACAAAATATGAGATCCAACCATCCCTCTTAACCATGCTTGGTTCACAGCCAGTCTTATTATATACACTGACAAAAACCAGAAGATCCCTCTTCAAGAAAACTGTTATTGTTTGGATCTGGAATGTACCACAAAGACTCATGGTGAAGGCTTGGTCCCCAACACAGCAGTGTTTAGAAGTGGAAAATGGATCTTGAGGGATCTAACCTCATCAGTGCATTAATCCTTTGATGGATTCGTAATTAGATGGCACTACTGGAAGGTGCTGGAAACTTCAGGAGGTGGAGCCACAGTGAAGGAAGGTCACTGGGAGTGTACATTTATTTTTTCTCACCTCCCCTGTTTCCTAGTTATCATGAGGTCAGAGTTTTTCTCTACCATCCTTTCCTGTCAGGATGTCTCTACCTTGCCACAGACCTAAAAGTAATGGAGCCAACTAACCACAGACTGAAACCTCTGAAATCATCAGTTAAAATAAAACTTTTAAGTTGATTTTTCTCAGGCATTTTGTCAGAGCAACAGAAGGCTGACCTACACAGAAACCAACGTACACAACAGAAAGAAACCAAAGACAGACATCTGCGTGCACACAAACTTTCGAAAAACCAGCTATTTCAAAGACAGGAGAGACAAAAAAAGAAAGAAACTGAGGGAAACATAATTTATGTAGGGAGCACAGAACTTCTTAAAACAAAATTCTTATCCTCAGAAAACTAAGATACTACATCCAACGACAGAAAGCAGACTAAAAAATTCACAAAAAATAGGAAAGAGCTCGAGTATTAAAAATATTGTCAAAAGTTCAAGAGGTAGATTGGAGATAAACTAAGGATCTTCCAGAAAACAGAGATGGAAAGCAGGAGAGAAACTCAACAAGAATGGAGGTTTATCCTAGGAAGCTCAACTGTCAACTAATACAAAGTTTTATTTTTTATACTAAATTTTAACTTTTATTGGTACATGATTACAGTACACAATGACATAACAAATCTTAATTTTTTTATTTATCCCATTCTCTTCCCCTTCATCCTCACTCTTTCTTTCTCTTGGCCCCCTTCCCTTTTTGCAAAAGATCTATCACCCTATTAGCTACCATCTATATTTCATTTTGTTCTTTAATTACAGTATTTATGCTTTGGGATTCCCATATAAGGAGAAACTACGCAATATCAAAGCTTGTATGTCTGACTTATTTCACTTAAAATTATGGTCTGAAGATGCATCTATTTTCCTACAGTGACTCAAGTTTACCCTTCTTTATGCATATAAATGCCACATTTTCTTTATCCATTCAATTGTTGATGGGCATATAGGCTGTTTTCAGGATTTAATTATTATGAGTTGTGCTGCTAAAAACATGGTTATACATGTATCACTATACTATGTCTTTAACTCTTTAAGATACCCAGAAGGGGAATAGCTAGGTCAAATGGAATTACTGCTTTTGTTTTTCTGAGGAATCTCCATACTGAATTACACAGTAGTTGTAGTTTACATTCTCAAGAAGTGTTCCTTTTTCCTTCTTCAGCACGTTATTTTCTCATCAGCACGTTATTTGATTTCTCAATGATAGCCATTCTTTCTGGAATAAGGTGAATGTCAGTGTTCTTTTACTTTGCATTTCTCTCATAGCCAATATGCTGAACATTTTTTCATATATTTATTGGCCATTTATATTGCTTCTGAGAAGTACCTATTCATTTTACTTGCTGTTTTATTGGTCTTGTATTTTTTTCTTAGTTCTTTAAATTTCCTAGACATTAGTCCTTTTTGTAATGAATAGCTGGCAAATTACTTTTCCCATTCTGTATGCTGTCTCTTCATTTCCTTTGCTATGAAGAGCTATTTAGATATGATCCTATTTGTTGATCTTAAATTTCATTTCTTATGCAACCGGGGCTCAGTTCAAGAAAGTTCTTGCTTATACCTATATGTTCAAGAGTTTTATCTATTTTATCTTTCAGAAGATTGTTTAACATTCAGATCTTTGATCCATTCTGTGCCATTTGTACTTTCTCCTGCTTTTTCATGGGCTCCTATTAGTGTTGCTATTCTTTGCATCATCTAGCAGCTGCTGGATCGATTTCTCATGGTCCCTTACTATTTTTAAGAAATCTC